AAAGATTTGAAGGAATCATCTAAGATAAGACGCGGCTTTGCACTTTGTCCGCGTCTTGTAAGCACAGAGGCGGAGTAGTGGGGCAACCTAAAAGTTATTTGCCTATTCACAAGTGTTTTAAAACGTTTATAAGATATAAACTGAAGGTTTTTCGTTTTGATTGGTGTTGTTGTGTGATATTGCTGTTTTTAATTGTTATTGCTGTTGTTGTTACTATTATTATCATTGTTGTTGTTGTTGTTGTTGTTGTTGTTAATGTCTTGTAAACCCAATTATAGCCATGCTTACATTAATGGGCATCTAGAAAAATTGTTTTATCAATGATAACGTCTTGTTCATGGTGTTTATTGATTTATGTAATCCCACCAGTTGARCGACAGCCGTCCTGTAAAGGAAAGGAAATAGTGCCATGGGTGCCACCATATCTAGCGCTCTTCAAAGGCGACGTAAAAAGGTACATAAATTCATAAATTAGATTCTAAATGATAATACTCAGTTGACGCTGTAATCTTTTTGAAAAAAAAAAACACATCATATCAACTCTTTAACTGTGCAACGATAGGGACTTGGTGCGTGTCAGCGATACGAACAATGTCAAGAAGACGTTGACATGTGAGCCATCTCTGAAGAACAAAGGTATGACTGACCCTCATGTGCGTGCGAATGAATCCTGCGTTAAAATTCTACACAATAAAATATCAAGTCTTTCATCGCTTAGTCGCATTTATGATGTTTGGTTTTGGTTCAACAGTKGAGAAAGAATCCTGCAAAGAAAAAGCACACAAGGTTACAAAACCTCACAGGTAAATAACAAATGTAAAGCCTAAAGGCATCACTCCATAATAAAAATTGCATAAGAATTATGTATATTGAATGTTTAACTTTGCAATGAAAGGGACCTGGTATCTGCCAAAGGCAAAATTTCCAACATCAAGAGAAAATCCGTAAAGACGATCAAATATAAAGCACCAAAAAGATCTCAGGTATGTGGCAAAGTTGAATAGGAACAATCACATGCATACTCTCTTAGCCTCTCACTCGCCTTCTTTCTCTTATGGAATCAGCTGACAACKGGTTACCAGATAAACTCGGTCCTGACACCGCTACCAGCACGATCAAAAGATCAGCCTCAGAGGGTGTAAAAGTAAAAAATATCTACAAATCTGTTGCCCTCAAGGAAGCAGCATCTGCGACACGATCGGAGCATCCAGTTGGTACAGAAGACGCAAAGATCAATGTTGAAGTCCCATTACCAACAATTCAACCAGGTGATAATTCAAAGSGACAAAATGAACCCGTTAATGGGGAATTTCTACTCCCATTAAAACYAGTAGATGACGACTCGGGTCAAAAAAGGTACGCAAACTATCATGTTCTTGCTGTAAATGTATCATTTTCTTGTAAGACCTTGTTGGGATTGTCTGCCCGATATTAATAGCAGTAATTATTTAAAATTCCTAAGTTTTATTAATCAAATAGGAACAGCTGGCGTGTCGGAAAAAGGTAAATTTGTGTCCCCATTTTTMCTCTACAGAGCGGACAAAAAGAAAATCCGATTGAAGGAGAGAAACAAAGAAAAATCTCCTGCAACACTCGACACAAATCTGCAAAGCCGCACAGATTCTTCTCGAAGATTTAAGCCACTAATTTTAGTATCTAACAAAAATAATCTTGAGAGTTCGTTGAAAAGACAACAAATATCGATGACAGCGAAGAAGAAGAAAGAAAACAAGAACAAAGGAACCGCTAAGKAGCGCGATGTAGGCGTCTCTTGTAGTGACCAGTCAACGCGGTCAAACTTCTCGATATACTCAGATAAAGACTTTCCTAGTCTTGGCAATAGTCTTTCACCTAAAGAAACCCAACGTAAASAACTGAAGTTAAAAACCTCAGGTAAGACTTCTTGAGCATTTAGATAAAAATGACGAGTTGTTGATCATTTAGTAACTCAGATGTTTGATTTGTCAAACAAATTTGGAAAAGGGATCGTCCCATTGGTGCAACGTCCAGTGCTCCTCAAGGCCACGCAAACTGAAAGGTACTTAAAAAGCATCGAATAGGAAGAGATTTTTATTAGCAAATCGACAGTTCACACTGTAGTAATATTGATTTGGTCCCTGAAAATCCTATCAGCTGACAACAGTTTGCCAGATATACCAGATTCGGGATTTCGGTATAGAAATGTTTTTTTTTTTTTTTCGTTCCAATATTCTTTTAATGATGTTGGGTAGTGATAAAAAAGAGACAGCTGGTATAACGGAAAAGAGAATAATTGTTTTTGGACCTTTAGGGACGACAAGAAGAAAGGAAAAACAAAGAAGAAAAGAAAAGGAAGAACAGCAGCAATACTAGACCCAAATTTACAATYCGGTCGAGAAAACTCTTGCYAATTCAAYCTCCGCAATGGCGTCTCTGGAAGTGGSCATCAGTCTCGGMCAACATTTTCTCTGGATTCCGAAGCAGACTTCCCTAGCCTTGCGAATAAAGTATAGCGCGCGTAGACGAAGCTAGGACACTGTAAACTAATTACTACTKAATTTTTATTGGCTTGACTCACTTTTACTGAAATCTCTCCTGCTTTTATTGACGTCACTGATATTTTCTCTGATAAAATTGAACACAGTCAAGTCTTTCATTACGTCTCTTCATATTAGTAAGTCACTGTTAAAATAAAAGATCATCGAACAAGAAAATGTTTCAATTAGCTGTGGTCCGACACATATCGCCATTGTTATCGGCTATTAAAATCAAGGTTGGGTAGGTTTGGGGAAGTATTGACCAGTATATATATCCTCCAATATTTTAGTTTTTTTGTACATATATATGTCATGGTATTGTATTTTTTGTATTGTTAATCTATTTCTATATGAATATCATACAATATGAACCTATTTTTAAATTRCTCAAAGTATTGCAGACAGCCTCCATGGGAAGACGGCTTTGTCAGGTTAAATTCTAAGTCATTTAACGTCATCCACGTGTACAGAATATGTTTCAGTACCATTTACATTCAACATTAGGTTTATTTGACCTTTTTTACTTCTTTTTTCGATCATTGTCCCTTTGCTTAGTCATCTGATTTCTTCATTTCAGCATTGATTCGAGTCTGTTTTCGTAATCTTATACGACTATCCAATCTTGTTAGTGGATAGTCGTATTTCATCTCGTTAGGAAATAGGCGTCGTTTTACACAATAAAAGCCAAAGGTTTATGATATGCGGAATACTTTATACATATATATGTTTGATATTGAACCGCTCGTTCTAAGGGGTATCTTTACCAGAAATTGCTCAAAATAA